TATTGCAAGCCCTAGTGCATTTTTGAGTTTCCCTTGTGTAGAATAGGTTTCCTGCATACTCACCCAAACCTATTATGTTCCAACCCAATTCTGATGCTTCTGTGCAGCAATAGAATAGAACCTTGATGTCAGTAAAAATCCTTCTAACTTTCCAAGAAGAATATTGGGTGGATGTGTTTTATTGATCTTGGCAATGATTTGTTTCTTTAAAATATTTCTCTTTTTTTCAAAGAAAGCAGCATTTTTTAAATTTCTTTAGTTAGGATTTTCAATATATGAAAAATTGAGAAAAGGTAGTGATTTTTTAAAGTTGGACATAGACAAATTTGTTTATGTGGTTTATAGACAACAGGTATTTAGATTTCCCTAGAAGTTTCTGATTAAGTGACCAAGAGAACCACATTCTAATAAATAGTCACTATTACTAAGGTAACTGGGGAGTGTGAATTTAAGCTATATTACTTTCATTGTTTTTACCTCTTTGCATAGCAGAAGATCTATTTATCCTATGTTCGAAATTCTTAGGTCAAGAAAACACAGAGCTCCATACTTGGCAGTATTCAAATGATTTCTTCCTGATGACCTCAGAGTCTATCACCCAGGTTTCTTGTATTTCTTGACACTGATTGATAAGCACTTTTTAAGTGCTGTGTATTTTCAGTTTTTATCTGAAGACATTGTCTTTGTCTTATTTAGTTTTAATGAAAAACATGTAAAAATAATGGAGGAAAATCAGAAAGCCTCAAAACAAATGGGAAGGTTACCTGTTCTCTCCACAAATAATGCAAATTTACAGAAAGATGTTTAAGGATTCAGGGTCTTTAAGAATATTTCTATTGTTCAGACATGAGTTCAGGAAAGATTGGAAGTTAGTACAGAGTATTTATTTGTCTCATGTTTTCTACAAATGTATGTATATATTCAGATGTTCAGAAATAGTTTTTTCTTTTCATTTTTAATATACTCTTCTTTCAGTGAACACTGGGGTGTACAATTTGGCAAGTATATCCTCAAGTCTGTGTCAATCATGTGCCTATCAGTGTACCATGAACAATCAAATCTGCACTTTGGTGGTGACTTGGCAGTAATAGGATGAAGGACAGAGCGTCTGGATTAGTGAGTGAAGGGGACCAGGGAACGAGGGCAGTTCCCACATGTTTCCTATCAAGTCTGTAACAAACTGGTCACATCCAGAGAATCTGGGATTAACTACCTCTTTTAGAATCACTTGAGTGGCACACTTAATCCCATCATCTACCTTAAATCCTTCCTGTTGAAGAATGTAATACGGTCACAAGATCTGAGAATTAAAATGTAGATGGATATATTTGAAAAGCTTACTCTGAGCTACACTGTTTCCAAATACCTCATGGAATTATGAGTTCATCTAAGTAAAATATATAGAGATGTTTGTTTGGAGGACACTTGGCTCTCTATAGTCAAGACTTCTAATATGCTTGCTAATACACTTTAAAAAAATAATCATAGCCACACACATAAAATTTCCCAATTCATAAACCCCCATTCAAGAGGTTTGACATTTTATTTTTATGCTTTTAATATTTTTGTAAGGAAGGTGAATTGAGATGTGGTTGGTGTTCAGCAGAGTTATTCAGCCGTTCCATGTCCAAATCACTAAGTTAATACATTTTCCTTTGGAAGCATGGAAAATAAAATTATAATGGATTTATTATGGACCTGGTTAATGTCCTTTCTGGGAATAGACTTTGGAATAATCTTAAAAGTACCTTGGGAATGTGCTTGTGGGTATGTGGATTGCTCTTCCCCGAAGTGATGCTGTGGGGTAAATGGGCCAACAAGAGTGAGGACGTAAGTGCAGAGAAGGCTGCTCGTATTTGTTTCTTCCATGAAGATGACTCAGTGGAACCTTGAGATGAATCATGACTTCATTTTGTCACACTGGAAACAAGAATAAAGGCGAATATCTCTGTAACAAAACACACCGTACTTGTGCTAGATCACCGATTACAGCCATTGAAAACTCTCCCAATTTCCTAATGTCATTTTGGCCCCGAACACTTTCAGGTTCAATATTAAACTCGCCACCATCTGATCATGTTCCCCATCATATTCCCATCACTCTGCCATCTCTTGTGTCATTTTTACATGTCCTGTGTACATGTGTTGTGTTGACACACTCACACACAAACCGTGTGAATGGGACAAGAAAGCACAGAGGAGCTGTCCCATTACTTTTAGACAGATTCACTTCCTCAATTGTCACCATTTATCTATTCTTATTGATATCCACTATGGGTGAGTACTCTGGTGTACACGTTTTTGGACCTTCTTTTAAAAGAAGATATTTTTTAGGAAGACAAAGTAAATATTCTTTGAATATGGTTAGTTTGTGTCTAAGTTTGAAACCAATGTCACCAGTCCTCAGTACAGTTTTCTGTACTTCATGTGGAAGAATATTACAAAATGTGGAAAAGTAGAAGTAACACGGGCAGAGGGCCCGTGTTGAGGAGAGATCAAATATGAATGAGAGTCCACAATCCCACACTCCTGTCCACACACAAACCTACCGTAAGCAAGTAGAAAGTTGACCAGGATGTGACTGGGTGTTGGAAGACTGTAACTCCAGTGCCCCAGATTCAATCTGGTCGTCTGAATAGGTTTCAGTTTCCTGAGTAGGACTTCACACATAGCTTATTTAAATCCTTTATTCCTTAACAGATTCATGACAGTGACAAATTCACCCGTTTTCCATTCTTGACAAGGATAATGATGACCATTAACATTTCGTTGATGGTTTACAATATGGAAAATTCTTTTCTGGACTGATGAGAAGGCCCAGAGGGTAAAGATGCTGCTTGCTGTTCACACCTGGAGACCTGAGTTCAATCCCTGGAAGCCATGTAACAGTGGAAGGAGAATATGGGCTCTACAAAGTTGTCCTTTGACCTCCATATGACCACCATGGCACACATGCCCACATATCATATACACATACACTAATAATAATAATAACAACAACAAAAGTAAATTTTAAAATAAAAAATCTTTTCTACAAATTACTTCATTTGATATTTGTTAAATTCCAGTAAAATGAAAACAAAGCCCACGTGATATCAAGCCCCATTACAGAGCTTTGGTCTCTGAATTTCAAAAATTTTCAGGTCCAGTACCCTGGGTTCTGTCTCATGTTTCCCATTTTCCTTGTCCTGGTCTAGCAGCCCTGCTGACCTCACCCCTCAGCTCACATCAGAGTCTTATCCCATGAAGAACATGTATGATTCACTCTCACACATGATCCCCAGTTCTGTCTGTGCTTTGCTTTTGTGCATCACAGCTCGGTATTTTCTTTTTGTTTCCATTTTTTATTTTGTTTTCTGCCTACTTTCCCCAGGTGTATGCATGTGTGTGTGAGCCTCCTTTATTTCATTCCTTTTGTTTTTAAAGTCATACCCTGTACTCATCTCCAAGATTATTTTAATATTTCATACGTGCATACAATGACAATTATGCGTTATTGTTATCATATTCACCCATTATCCTTCCCTATCCCCTCCCACTCCTGCAGACGCCCTTCTCCTCTTCTAATCTCCCTCCCACTCCTGGGCCTCTTCTATGTGTGTGCCGGTAGCCACAGAATCTGTCTTCATGACTGCAGCACCCATGTTAAATCCAGAAGATGGCCTTCCAGGGATCTTGTCTATCCTTGGCTTTTACACTCTTTCCACCGCTTCTCCCACGGTGTTCCCTGGACCTTGGAGGAGGTGATACAAACCTGCCCTTAAGGTCTCGGCACTCAACAGTCACTTATTCTCAGCACTTTAGGAGTGTCTGCATTAGCCACTGCCCACTGTCAAAAGAAGAGTCTCTGACACCCCACACCTGCCTTTATGCAGTTGTCTTCAGATTGGAACCTCCAGCATCTCACCCAGTGCTCAGCCCAGGATGGCAATCCAAATATTTGGAAATAAATAATTAAAGAGTGGAGCTTAATGTTGCTGTGGAAGAAAGCATTATACACGCCAAAGCATCTGGATTTTATTAGAATTTCATGATTTTTTTTTTTTTTTTTTAAGAATTGAACTACAAGGAGGTTCTCTAGCAATGAATCAGGGTCTTGGGAGACATTGGAATTTCAGAACTTCACATGTCTCAGTCCCAGTAGCAAGAACTTCAAAGTCAAACTTTTGCATCAAAGAACTGTTAACATTTCTGATTGTTTTGTTTGTTTATCTGTGTTTTGTTCCGGGAGACAGAATCTCCTAGGACCTAGAACGGCCTGAAACTCACTGCAAAACTTAAGCTGAAATCAAGCCCCCAGTGATTCTCCTGCTTCAGTCTAGTGTGCAGGGATGACAGGAGTGGACCTTTGCTCCCAGCTACAACCTCTCCTGCCTAACTAATTTGTATTTCAAGAACTGTCAGGTTCTAAATCTTACAGATCTAGCTGGTTCTCTTTGTTAAATTTTAACACTCTTAATGATGACGCTTAAGTTGCATGTAAACAATAGAAATATATGACTTGAGGAAGGACTGTGGTATTAGTTTTTTTACTGATTTGTTTTCTTTTGCAGGAAGAGCAATCATTTAACTTCTTTGATCTTCTGTGGTCTCTACCATCTGTATCATTTTAATGAAGTTAATAAAATGTTAATAACCATCATTTCGGGGGACATGATGGCTCAGGGAATGAAGCTCTTTGTCACACAAGCATGAGGACTTGAGTTTGGATGGACTTGCCTCCATGTCTGTTGGGGGGAATGAGACAAGAGGATCCCTGCGATTTGTGGACCAGCAGGTCTAGTTCAACCCGTGAACTCCAGGTTCAGTGAGAGATCCTGTCCCAAAAGGAAATATAAGATGGAGAACAGGTAAGAAATACACTGGGTATCAACCTTTCACCTACACACACATATCTTCCCATGTATGTGTACCTGCACTAACACACCCATGCATACACACACATATATGCACATACACAAATATAATTAAGAAAACAACAATAAAAATAATAGCAACATATGCTCTGGTTTCTCTTCATATCTAATAAGTCTTTTACCTTTCACTAAAGATTTCTGTGGAGAACAACTCTAAGTCTTAACTCAAGTATTTGAGGTCTTTTAAGAGCAGGGATAAAATAATAGTAAAATGACATAAAAACC